GAATTGTCTCTCTTTATTGTCTACTTGATATAAACTCTTGATTTTTAGTGTCCAGATTGATTTGGTTGATTTGACTTTTTTTCCTTTTTTTTTTTTTTGAATGGTTGAAAGCTGTCTGTCCTGTAGTTTTATTTCATTTTTATCTATGAAGCATTTATTTTTTATTTTTAAAATTTTATTTTGTGCAAAAGACTTATGGTTTTGTCCAATTAAAATGTTTTTAAAATAATTAAATTGAAAACACTTTCAATTTGGAATGCTACATGACAGCTTTTGGTTTCAGTGGTTATGTTTTAAAATTTTTTGGTTTCCTTTTTATTAATTGAGGTTACAAATTTCATATAAAATAATTAAGGCAAAATTCCTTATCATAAAGTAGATTTTAGTTTTATGTTAAACAAATATACAATAACTTGTTTACAAAGTGACTTCCAGCTAAATATCTAGAAAAAGCATTGATATTTGAATAATAAATATCTAAATAAAATAGCTTTTTAAATAAGAATGTCTAAATAAGTTAAAGCTAAAAAAAATTGTTGCTATCTCATCTCTTAAAAATGCTATTACTATTACAATGCAAAGTAAACTATTAATGAACACTCAGTGTGTACAGATATAATCTAAGACAGTAATATAAAATTAGAAGAATGCAGAAGTACAAGAACAGCATACTTTATATTGTTCACTTTAAACTTTAGATTACTCAAGTTAGTATTATTCAAAGTAGATTTTTTTAAGTTTATAATAATAACTGAAGCCCTAAATATAAGTATATATAATGTTTAAAATACAAAATTTTGCAAAAAAATTATTTATTGTACTTTAAGTTGTGGTGTACATTCACAGATCATCCAGGTTTGTTACACAGGAATACACATGACATGGTGGTTGTTTGCTGCATCAATCACCCCATCATCTGTGTTAGGTAATATTCCTAGTGCTATCCTTTCCCAATCCCCCCAGTTTTTTCTATTCCTTTTCTAATCCCCCAAACCTGCTGGCCTCAGTGTGTGATGTTATCCTCCCTGTGTCCATGTGTTCTCATTGTTCAACACCCACTTATGAGTGAACTTATGCAGTGTTGTGTCTGTTTTCTGAGAATCATGGTTTCCAGTTCCAACCATATTCCTGCAAAGGACATAAACTCATCTTTTCTGATGGTTGCATAGTATTCCATGGTGTGTATATGTAACATTTTATTTATCCAGTCTATTACTGATGGGCAGTTGGGTTGGTTCCAAGTTTCTGCTATTGTAAACTCTGCTACAATGAACATATGTGTGCAGGTGTCTTTCTAATAAAATGATTTATAAATCTTTGGGTATATCCCCAGTAATGGTATTGCTAGATCAAATTGTATTTCTATTTCTGGATCCTTGAGGAATTTCCACATTGTCTTCCACAATCGTTGAACTAATTTACACCCCTACCAACAGTGTAAAAGCATTCCTATGTCTACACATCTTCTCCAGTATCTCTTGTCTCTTGATTTTTTAATTATCACCATTTTAACTGGGGTGAGGTGGTATCTCAATGTGGTTTTGATTTGCATTTCTCTAATCCCCAGTATTGATGAGATTTTTTACGTTTGTTGACTGCATACATGCTTTCTTTTGAAAAGTGTCTGATCATATCCTTTGTCCATTTTTCTATGCGGCTGTTTGTTTTTTCATTGTAAATTGTTTAAGTTCTCCATAAACTCTGGATACAAGTTTTTTGTCAGATGGGTAGATTGCAAAACTCTTTTCACATTCTGTTGGTTGCCTGTGTACTCTATTGATATTTTCTTTTGCTATGCAGAAGTTCTTAAGTTTAATTAGATCTCATTTGTCTATTGTGGGTTTTGTTGCCATTGCTTTTTGTGTTTGATCATAAAGTCCTTGCCGATGACTGTGTACTGAATGGTATTGCCTAGGTTTTCTCCTGGGGTTTTCATGATTTTAGGCTTCATGCTTAATCTTTAATCCATCTAGAGTTATTTTTTGGATGATATGTAAAGAAGGGATCTTGTTTTATCTTTCTGGATATGGATAACCAGTTTTTTTTGACACCATTTATTAAATATGGAATCCTTTTCTTATTGCTTGTTTCTATCTGGTTTGTCAAAGATCAGATGGTTCTCATTGTGTAGCATTATTTCTGGGGTATCTGTTCTGTTGCATTTGTCTAGGTCTCTGTTTTGGTACCAGTACCATGTTGTGTTAAGTACATAACCAATTTTTTAAAAAAAGAACAAAAGAGAAAATGAGGGTTAAATAAGATAATAAACATGGAAAACAAGAAAGTAAATATTAGCATAATTACTTTTATAATTGTAATAATTTTATACTCATAATAACTTTAAATGTGTTTTTGCTTAAAAAGGCACAGACTGCTGCAAATGCATTATTAAAAGAATGATTCATTTATATAGTTTCTATGCTAATGTTACTTTAGGCAAAAATACTCAGGGGCCAAAAGTAAAATAATACAACTTTCCAGGAAAGGCATGACAGTGGACTACAGAGTACTGTATGTGTGTCTCTTCAACTAAACAATAGATCCAGTGGCAAAATTAATATAATGCAATTATTTTGGGATCAGAGTTTATCTGAAGTTTTACAGCTTCAAAAGGAAAATTTCCATAGTAAACAGTTAATTTTTTTCAATTTTATATCACAGATTACCAGTAGCTATTTATTTGTTATTAACCGTTCCTGTGGCATGCTTATTGCAAATACTTCTGAAGCAGCTTGGAAGAGCCAGAAAAACAGAAATGACTCTGCCTTAAAACTCTCAGGAGGATTTATGCACTGAATGGCTCTCTTAATTACAGAGGTCCAGACAGAGGTGAATAGTTATTGTTTCATTCCCAAACCCTGTGTGGAATTTTCCTCCTCCTGTTCCAGCAACTTTCAGAATATAATTTAAAAAGCCAGGACACTTTTTTTTTAATAAGAAGCCAGACATTGGTAGACAAGAAACATTCAAAATAAATACATATATATGAAAGTATAAATAAATTGTATGATAGTGCCATGTACCCCATAATGGTGCAGGCTCAAAAAAGACCCAAAAATAAATTTGGTAGGACTGATTTCCAGTACAGAAAGAGCCTACATGATGAATAAACAAAACCCTTTCCAACTACAAAGAAAAAGAAACTGATTTTCAAAGTAACAGCATTTTAAAATTTAAATGCACTTGCTCACCATTAACAAAATCAGAAAATCATAAAATGAAAAAGAAAACTACAGCTCATTCTATGAAAAAACAATAATATCAAACACAGGGTTTTCCTAGACAGCCCAAATGGCAGATTTACTAAAAAATAATTTTCAAAATTAATGTTAATAGGAAGATAATAGAATGAACAAAGGAAGCACAGAAAAATTATGGACAAAATAATTATTAATAAAGGGTGTAAATTATTTTAATGAATTAAAAATTATACAGATAAAAGTAAAACAACTGAAATAAAAATTCTCTACAGAAAATTTAAAGTAGACTTGAGTAGAGGGAAGACCAAAATATCAGCAAACTTAAAGAACAATTAATTGAAATTATTGTGTCAGGAAAAAAAAAAAGGATAACAGTGAAGATATGTGAATACAGCCTAGAAACTTGTTGGAAATCATCAAGTGGCCACAGTTACACATTTTGGCCATTTGAAGGAAGAAACAAGAAATCAGGAAGAGTATTTAAAAAGTAGTGGTCTGGGAGGCCGAGGTGAATGGATCACGAGGTCAAGAGATCGAGACCATCCTGGTCAACATGATGAAACCCCGTCTCTACTAAAAGTACAAAAAATTAGCTGGGCATGGTGGCACATGCCTGTAATCTCAGCTACTCAGGAGGCTGAGGCAGGAGAATTGCCTGAACCCAGGAGGCGGAAGTTGCGGTGAGCCAAGATCGCGCCATTGCACTCCAGCCTGGGTAACATGAGT